GGTTTTATTACCAGTTCTATAGAACTGGTCCGAACCTGGGGCAACCCACTACTGATATATTCTTACAACACAACACAAGTCCAGGTGTTATTGTTAATGCAATCTGTTTCTTAGGTCACAACCTGATTCAACAGTAGAGAACCCTCCATTGAGGAAAGCAGAGCTGTAAATAAGAAAGTAGGAAGTCCACTTGGGTCCTGGAGATTCTGTTGGCAGTCAAAGAGTGCGTTGGGCCATTTTGGAATAATATTACAACTGAGGAAAAAGAGTGTGCTTTTCTTATTGTGTCTTTATAAGGACCAGAGTCATGAATAACACACCTGAGTTGATAATAAGATGACCAATTGTCCTCTTTAGAGAGGACAGCCCTTTTTTTGTAAGTTCTATCCTCTCTTGAAAAGTGTCCTCCTACATGTCTTCCTTTTCGATATTTGAAGACTAATCTGTAAATCTCCATATTCGATCGATGCTGAGCCGATCCGTTGTGTGTGATGTGATGTATTTGTATTTGACATGATGTTTAATCAAGGTTCAGTGCGACGAGACGCGATTATGAAACTCATGCGCTCCGCACAGGAGAATTGTTTTGAGAGTGTGCGCTGCGTGCAAGTGGCTTTGTTTACTTCTTACCGAAACACAGCACGGCACACACGCACGCATTAGACTCATTGTTGCAATGAATGTTTCTTTTCATTTACAATTTTTTTTCTTCAATTTATTTGTGTCCTCCTCCAGGGAGCCTTTTGCAATACTCCCTCCTGAGCAGTCCTCTTTTACCTAATTCCTAGGGCTCTGACTTGTCCTTGGCCCTATCGGTGCTCCTTTCAGAGGCGAGAACACAGTCCTGGATGAAAAGGTGCATATTAGGAGCCTCAAGGGGTGGTTTGACATGGAATTCTGCATAATTAGATCCTCCGTGATTGTAAGATCAGGCTTTCACTTCTTCAGAGAAGCCAAAAAGGCAAAAGGGCTTGTAGGAAGACAACTGCTTAGGAAATACCCCTTTTGCCCATATGTATGGGACATACTACATTTCTGTCCCAGGCGTTATCTCTTGCCCCTGCAACTGAGGGTAAGAATAACAGATAGCTGAACAGGCAAAAGAGGACATGGACAATTGGAAAGGAGGACAAACAGGGACAAAAAAGGAACACTCACTGTTTAACTTTCTTGGCAACGGCAACAAAAAAATACAGCAAAGAGCTGCAAAAAATGTACTTGGACCTACATGTAATAAAATTACTTTTTCTAGCATCAGAAAGACTTCTGGTTTTTAATTTGCAATATTTTCCCCATAAATCTTTACTTTCCAGAACATGTACTAGAGATAATATAAAATCAACGTGCTTTTCAAACTTGACCATAGAAATATATGATAAGTCAATATGATCTCCAGACTACAGGGATAGTAGATTTCAAGGGCGTGGATTGTAGCTGATTATTGGAAACAGGAAATGAAGTAGACAACATAAATGTAGGCTGTGAAGTCTGTCAAGGGATAAGGGAAGGAAAAGTCACAAAACATGAAAGTTTCCATGATTGCTGAGGCAAAAAACAGTCCAGAAAACTAACCAAGACTTTGAAAAAGATGGACAATACTTGATTTTAAGACTGTGCCTGCCAGATTGAGGACGTGAGGACAATTTGACTGGACATCTTATGACCCTAAATGAGGCCGTTGCTGCATTGTGTGCCTCTTCCGCTGATGCAGGAGCTGCTCCTGCTCCCAAAAACAGACGAATAGCTCAATTTCACTTCTCATTTTAATCTACAAGGCAACCTAAGCAGTTTTCCTACATCTGGCATGAATATGAGTGCCACTCTTGCATAAAGTGTTATATCCCCACTCATAAGACTAAAAGCCACAACTATATGGTAATGTCCTCTCATACCAATTGTAAAATATGCCCCAAAAGCAGATGTAAACATAATCAAGATTTGAAGGAGAGCAGGCAAGAAAAGGGTTTATATCAGGGGTCACCAACCTTTCGGACCTCAGGGACCACAAAATTCATAATTTTAAATCCCGCGGATGACTGGGTGGGCGTGGCTAGGTGGTAATGTGACTGGGTAGGCATCGCCAACTCGATGTCACTCATGTCAAGGGGTGCTTCACTGGCTTCTACACAACCCTCCCCTGCCAGGCACCATGAGAAAGAGTTGGCAAAACAGCTGGCTTAGTTCAAATTGGATCTGACAGAGAAGGAGGCTCAGCAGAAGCACCTCACTGAGGACTATGAGCATAGGCTTTCCAAGTAGAGGGAAGACCTGCAGAAGTGCAAGACCAGGTACCAGTACCTGGAGGCTCAACGGGCTGAGATGGTCAGCCAGTTCCAGGCCATGATGCAGTCCCACTGGAACATGACCCTCTGGCTCTTCACCACCAGTGGCACTTTCCTCCAGCCTTCGCCCAAAGCCCCACACCAGGAGGCTGAAGCAGACCCTAAGTCAGAATTTCTGCCCCCCTCCGATCTGCACAAAAAGACACCGAAGGGGGAGACTCTCTGCAGCAACACAAACATTCCTTGTACGTAACTGGCCCAGGGGCCGTAGTTTGAAGATCCTTGATTTAGTGCAATATAAAAAAATGGAAATAATTTTTCTGTGGACCACCAAAATTTTCTCCCGCACCACCAGTTGGTGACCACCAGTTTATATAACAGAAACCAGCCAGTTCCATTTTTGTTTTTGACAATTCAAACATTTGTATCCCTATGGAGAGTGGCAGATTATCTGATTATTTAAGGAGGTAGCTTATTATAGAATGAGAATGGAATTTAGGTGGCCAGTACAGTATAGGCTCGTGATGGCGAACCTATGGCACGCGTGTCACAGATGGCACGCGGAGCCATATTGGTGGGCACGCAAGCTGAGCTCCGGTGCGCATGCATGTGCCAGCCAGCTGATTTTCAGGCCTTCTGGGCCCACCAGAAGTCGGAAAACACGCTGTTTCTGGCCTCTGGAGGGTCTCCGGGGTGGGTGGGTGAGGAAGGCCTGTTTTTCGCTCTCCCCAGGCTCCAGAGGCTTTCTAGGCCTTCTCCCTCCCGGAGGCCCTCCAGAGGCCAGAAATGGCCTGTTTCCCGACTTCTGGTGGGCCCGGAAGGCCTGTTTTTCACTCTCCCCAGGCTCCAGAACCTTTCTAGGTGCTTGGAGAGGGCGAAAATGGTCTTCCCCACGCCTCTGGAGGCCAGAAATGGCTTGTTTCTCGACTTCCGGTTCCACCGGGAGTCCGGTGGCCCACTGTACCATCGTGTGCCAAAAGCGTGGGGAGCATGGGGGGGGGTCGCACGCACATGCGCAGGGGGCAGGGCACATAGAATTATGGGTTTGGGCACATGTGCGTGTGACCCCCCCTACGCTCCCCCCACTTTTGGCACTTGATGGCAAAAAGGTTAGCCATCACTGGTATAGGCAAAAACAAAGGTGGAAGGAAATGGCCTCTATTGGGAAGCTCAGAGATCATTGCAAATATAGTCCTGGATCCATATCCAAGCAATGGGATTCTTCATAGAGCATGGACTATTCCCAGTGCCAAACTGAGGATGAGCAGTATCTTACCACTATCAACCATTCTAATCCATTCTCTCTTCTCCCTGATACCATTATTTTATGAATGGTAATGTTGAAGTGTAGGAAGAAACACTCTGAACTCAACCGCTCATTCCTTTCAAAGGAAGCATTCACAGTAAATAACCTATTGCAAATGCCATCAAAGTACGAAATCAAAATAATATTAACAGATGGATGAGCAACATGCTACAAGCAAGTAGGGGCCATCACAAATGCTTGGGTTTCTACGTCACTGAAGGGCCATGGTCCTTGGTCTCACGTGAAGAATCATGGCAAAAACCTCTTTCAGGAAACTTGAAGGACAGTTGAGAAGCCAGAGGTATTGATAACATAATAGATGTGATCAGTGGTGGGATTCAAATAATTTAACCAGTTCTCTGCCCTAATGATCGGCTGGGTGGGCGTGGCCAGGGGGTGTGACAGGCAGGATTCTGCCTCCTGCACCCCCCTGGGGAGGAAAAACAGGCCACGGGAGGGTATCCCCCCGTGCCGTTTTGGGCCTAGGTAGCCTCCCTGAAACCTCCTGGGTGCAAAAATGGGCCATGGGGGGGGCACGCTGCACCCCATTTTGGGCCTAGTGGGCCTCCCTGCACTTACCTGGGAGCCAAAATGGGGCAGTTGGCGACTCCTGGAAGGGGCAGGGTGGGGAGAGGAGGGGCCAGCCAGCAATTTAACTACCGGTTCACCCGAACCGGCCTAAACCAGTTGAATCCCACCACTGAATGTGATGGCTTATTAGAAAAGATAGCGAGAAAGAAAAGGAAGAAAGAAAGAAGTTGTAACTTGCACAGAAAACCAAAGGTATCCAGTAATCATGTGCCTGTACATGGATGTACATTATTACTATTAATTACATCCATAAAACATTGCATTTAGGTCCACAACTGGATTGTCCTCATACCTTGTCCTTTGCTGTTCTTCTATGTGAGATTTTTTAAAGTTGCAGTCTGTGATTTGAATGTTATTTTCCCATTATCTCACTTAAACCTTTAAATGCAACTGCTTAAAGCTGGAGAGGGTTGTTACTTATTCTCCTTTCCTTTTTTTAAAATGACTAAGTCTATTTCTTGTGAAATTGGTCTATTAATCCATCCAAGAAGTTGCTCAGGAGGAGCCCCATAGCCTTAGCTGTCTGCACTGTCTACAGTATGTCAGCAGGTGGCAGCATAAGGAAGGTGCATAGACTGTGTGTGTGCCTTCTCTTACATGCCGTGACAAGGAAGAAGTGCTAAGCAAGGCACTCCCTAAAAAAGGCTACTAAGCCACAACGTGGAATTAGTATGTGTCAATCCAAAGACTTCTGGGAAAGAAAGATTGGGGCTTCCAACCTTGCATTCTCCAAATTCAGCTCTGCACTAGAATCTGCTGACCCAAACATCTATCAACCCCAGCTTTTAGATATCAGGTCCAACATATGAGGATAAATGAAATCTATGACCCAAAATCTTTTATCACAATTGCAGGCAACAATTATATTATCCAAATCTTGCATAGGGAGCACTTATATTACATTAAAATACACACATCATCATCCTTTTACATACTGAATGGTCTTTTTCCTCCCAATTTATCGTATATATGGTATATTTGACATTTCCTACTACAGAAGCAGTCTTTGTTCTTTCTCCGTTTAGAGTAATGAAGTGTCCAATATTTTTGCAAATAAGCTCTCAGGTAAGTTTAGGATATCTGCCAGCAGTCATTCCCCTAAGTCCTTCATTGGTCATGAAGCAAATTCTTCATGAGGCATGATAGTACATCCCAGGTTCATAGTTCAACAAGAGGCTGACTTCGTCATGAGAACTTTGATTTCAATATGATTCAAGCCAACAACTTTTTGTCTTTCGATCTTAGGTAGTAAGGAAGAGCTCAAGACTTGGCCACAGCAAGGCACATCAACAAATATAGCTGAGACTTGTTTTTCTATTGTATTTTAACCTTATGGCTGTGCAAAAAAGGAAATGGCGCCTGGGGAAATGCCAATTAATGCTATCTGAGACTTGGATTCCAATATAATGCAGACATCACACACAAAGCAAGGATCAGAAATCCAGAGCCAAGCCAAGTGGCTGCTATTTCTTCATGCCAAGTAGTACAGATGCCTTTACTTTACAGAACTTTAGCTCTTTACTTTAGCTCTTTATCACTTTTCTTCCCTTGAAGGAAATCCCATATCACTTGATTGACCTTTTCAGGCTGCTCCTCAGGTAGCCAATGGCTCGCGTCTGGGAAGTAATGTATGTGATAGCTGCCTTGGAGATAGGGCAGTATCTGATTCACCAGCCCTTCTTCCATGTATGCATCCTTCTGCCCCCAGAGCAGCAGAGTGGGCACCAAAATATCTTTGTGCTTTGGTGGTATCCAGCTGTAAAGGCAGACACATGTTGATAACCGTTAAAACGAGCCCTGGGTAATTAATAGCTTGCTGCTTTTACATGCTAAAATGCGTTTACATGCTTCCCCCCCCCTCTCCCCCAGGTTTCATGCACACCAATCACTAAGAAGAAGCTAGGAGGATTTGTTAAAGACAGCATGTTCATATTTTAGCATCACAAATGAAAGGAAATATACATGTCCCAGGATAATGTTGTAGGATCCAATCTAGGTCGGTCACTGGGACTAGAGGTTTAGTCTTCTGAGCTTTCGGACTTGTGCTGGAGCCCATCCTCAGGAAAATTCTCTCTCACCAGAATGTGTATTTTAGCAGCAGTCTACCACCCAATATCTCCCAATTTTACTACAAATAAAGATCTGTCAGACTGCCTTTCAAAAAACTTGCAGGATTTTCTCAAATCTTTGGCCTGACATATTAAAAGAAATTGGGCTTCAGTTCAGACAATCCCAAGGGAAGGAAGAAATGCTGATACTACCCAAGACCAGAGCCCAGGTGGAGTGTTCTCCCACCTGAGAATATTCCTGTAGTAGTTAATTGGTGGAGTTAAGGCATTAGGCCTTGAGAAATTATACAGAGTAAGGCTGTAATTCCTCTGCTGTGAATCAACATTCTGGATTCTTGTCTTCTTGCTTGTTATTCCCTCTTTTATTATCTAGCAATAAGACAAAACATGTAGATACGGGTTAGACACATATCCCTCTTGTATAACACCAGGGCTTTTGAGACAGAGCAAACTATTGAAAATGCTTATGAGAGTTTAAACATTTATGTATAATTATAGCCCCTTTTTCTTTCTTCAAGGAGTGTATGTAGCATTTGCACATCCATTTGTCCTATGAGGTAGTTTAACTGAGAGACAGTGACTGCTCCAAAGTGAGCTTCTGTGACTGAAGATACTTTAGATCTGAACCTGGGACTTCCTGCAGCCCTAGTCTAACATCTTCATGATTAACACCCCACCGGATCTCTTGAAGAAATATGAAGATGAACTGGTGTGTTCATCTTCCTGGATTCTGGTGTAAAGGGACTGGATACCTGACAAAGTTGCTTCACTGTTTTGTCTCTGTGACTTCATCCAGAAGTATGGATGCGTTGGCTGCAATTAAAGATTTCTTAACACTCAATAAAGCAAGGAAAGAATGCAGAGCCTTGCTTCTAGAACTGTTCTAAGCATTCTACCTACAGCAGCCACAGGCTTCCATGAAACAAAACTACGTTACAGCTGTTATCTGCATTTCTGTCTTCCCCACCTTGTACTACCTATATGTGTCTGTACACTGGGAAGCACAGAGCAAGCTATATATATATACTCTTTAATGGGTTGCATGACCAGCAAAGATCAGTCAAGGGGGTATAGCATGGAGCAATGAACAGAATGGGGGTATTTTTTTTTTTCTGGATCAGCCCCATTTTTGAACTCAAACTTCCTTTTGCCAGTTTCTCCCTCTTTTTGTCCCCACTCAACCTGGTCCCATCCTGTTCAGTTTCTAGAGACATCCTGTTGACAGATGGACAGGCAGGCTCCTCTACATAGCTTCTTCCCAACATTCTTTTGGGTTGGAAAGACTACCGAGAATCAGAGCAACACAGCTCTAGGGAGAAAGGCAGGAAAATACACAGCAGACTCCTCCTTCTCTTTCTAAACATATCAGAATCTCAGCATTTCATAACATCTTTCAGGTAATTTTCAGGTACTTAGAGCTGTTCTTTGTTTATCCCCAAAGTCCTTCATGAAACAAATTCACCTTTGCCTCACATTCCATGGGGTTCTTTTACCACTGAAAAAATCCTCTCTTCACTCCAGTCTTGTCTGTTCTGTGGAGACAAACTGAAAAAAATGGAACAGCTTCACAGGAAGCACCATGGAGGGAAAGAATCTGATTGTTTAAAAAAGAAAAACAGACAGCATCAAAGGGTTCAGATAAAACCAGGAAACCTGGCAGAGAGACCAAAGAAGAAAACCAGCACCAATGCAGTATGACAAATCCAGGCTTAGAGAAATTAGCCATAGTTCCTCCCAGGAATTAATATGTTTAATTTAAGCTTACTCTCCTAAAGCAAGAGATTACAAATTTTCAGGCTATTCCATAATCTTTACTCACATGGAAGTCATCCAAGGAGCAGAACCATTCCGGTATCTTTGGTAGTTGGAACAGGAATATGTACATGGATTTAATAATTTGGGTGAGATTTTTGGGGAAATACTCTGCAAGATTGAAAAGGAAAATAAACTGAGGTAAACAAGCAATGCTTAATATATATGAAACATCTAAAAAAGGCCACCTTGAAGAGCTAAGAAGCCTCACTGAGGTTATTTAAGCTAATTTTCAGATTACGTTTCTCTTGACGCCCTCTTGAGAGAAACATTTTTAAAATAGTTCGAAAATTCACATATTCAGTTTGGATTTCTATTCCTAGCATTTGGATCAACTGCCAGCCCAAGCAAGGGAAACAACTGATATTTTACATGAATTCTGGGCCAATGTGCGATGCAATTAAAGCTTCCATCAAGACCAAGAACCCTTTTTTCATGCCCAGCAACACAACTCGATGTTGAAGAAGAATAGGTCACTTTAAAGAGTAATATAGCAGGGCTATATTACACCCACAGGGTCAGGATTTTTATCCTTTTTTGGTGGATTGTTCTCTTTTTTGGTACAGAAGAATTTTCATCATTTTAAACAGACCCATCCTATTTTAGGGCTTATTCTATAAAAACCCATTGCTGGAGATGAAAGTCAGCAAGAAGAAAGTGGGAAAGAAGTCAAAACTTCCTCCCTCTTCTTACTCCAAGTTCTTTACCAAGAAAGATTGGCATTCCTGAATGTGAAGGCATTGCTATTTGGCCTCCAATTCATTTCCCCTTGGCATTTATTCTAATTCTAAACAGGGTTTAGCATTGTCTCAAATCCCTCATGCCCAGTTACTGAATTCAAGTGCTGCCAACATGAACCAATATTTGCATCTGTAGGTGCCTACTGTCTCCTTTACTCTGAGCCACAGCTACTTTCTCACATGTAAATGTGCCACACTCATCCTATGCATTTTTAGTAACTTGGACCAGAAACCTATCTAGAAATGACAAACAGATTGGTCTGGGCTCTCAGGTTGCCCAGCTCTAGCTTACTGAGATAGAATACCTGATTCAGAAAAGGCCTCCTTCCTCTATAAATACTCATGCTGTGGAATAGTCCAGCCAGATCCCAAAACCACTCACTCTACAATTTCAATGGCCACTGAACCCTGAATAAGGAATCCCTTATGGTGAGCCCAAAGACACAGAAGAAGATTAGCCTTACCGAAGAGAACATGTGCTGGAATACCATTCATAAAAATCAGCTTCTCCACCATGCTAGGATAATTGGCTGCAAATTCACACGCAATTGCTGCTCCCCAGTTATGACCTACCAGGATGCACTTGGGATCCCCTAAAGAACAAAAGAGAAAAACTTCCAGGAGGAAAGAAAGCCTGAACAAGTATCTTGTCCATCAATTCAGTCAGTCACAAAAAGCTCCCTGAAGTATTTTTGAAATATTTTTGAAACATTAGCCAGGTAAGCAACATCAAGTGTGCCCTTCCCACTCCCACTCCTCCCACACCCAAGAACAGGGAGCTATTATAGCCACTATTATAGCAGATCAGATTCTCCAATGGGGGGGGGGAAAAAACCCTTCTTCTTGAACTCACCATCTTTTTCACTGGAGCCCAGGGCTTCGATGACATCTTGTATGTCTTCCAGAATAATATCCCTTTGATAGCACTCCCAAGCCAGTGGTGCATCAGAAAGGCCATAGCCTTTCATGTCAAGTGCCACCACCTTAAAGGCTTGGCTGAACTCCTTCAGTTGATGGCGCCATAAAAACCTGTGCAATATATACCCAAACCACACAGAGGTAAGGAAAAAGGACAGGGAAAGGCTCCCTCGCCATCACGTATTTTCTTAGCATAAGTTGATGTCATTCATATTGACCTCCCAGTTCACTTGATTAGGAGTCATTATATTCCACCGGGCATATATTCCATGTTCTACAACTACCACACCAAAGCAAGACTTACCAGTTCTGGGGAAATCCATGCAAAAAAAGCATCAGGCAGGCCCCTTCTTTGCCAGCTGTAACGTAGTGGAGGCGTATCCCTGACTTCTCAAATGTGCCAAGACAGAGAAAGAAGTAAATAACACACTGTTATGCAAGGATCATGTGATAAAACACATTTTGCCTGCAGAGATTTGAAACTGGGTAAGAAGTGATGACAAACTCCTCTTCCTGCATTCTAGAAAGCAGCTGCCATTCAGAACAGAAATTATTATGCTAAACAGGCCGGTAATCAAGGCTTATGATATGCTCCTCCCAGCCTTTAAATATAGTTCTTAGCACTATGCTCCAAGACCTTATCTTCACATCTGAAGTGAACTTTAATTAATGTGATCTCAGTATGGAACTCTACTTTTACTTAAGCAGGCTCACCTTGAGGATCAGATACTTGTGTTCACCATAACAGGAATCAGTCAGGATCTTCGGTGGGAGCCTCTCAGTTTTCTGGAACACCCGACATGGGCCCTTAGTAAGTATCAGCCTGAACACCCACACGGAGTAGAAAAGAGCAGCAATATAACCAGCACCATACAAGGTCAACTGCATCACAATGTTGGAGGCCTTCAGCATTATGCGAGTGGGCACCAGTAAGGAGCGATAGAGAGATACCATTTTTTGGGTGTAATCCTGGGCAAAAGGGAAGATTTTTTTTCTTTTAGGTATTTTAGTTAAAACGGCACAGTTTTAATTCCAAATACCATTAGACACCAACAAATACTTCAAGCTACAGCAATTGCAACAACTCTCAGAGAAAAGGGGATTCCTGTTTTCCTGTGGCTAGGATGTGCAGGGTGCAGAAACAACTGCGGAATAGAAAACAAAAATCCATATCCAGACTCACCCTGAGCCACAAAGTAGTAAAATCCCAACCTGTCCTTTGAATGCTATGCAGCTTCATAAAGGGCAGCCAGGATAATAAGAATATACTTTAGATAAATTTACAGATAAAACCTCGAAGATGGAATAGGAAGCATCACCTGGTTGGCAGGAGAAGTACATTCACATTAATTGACATTTTCCACAAGGACTATATAGCTGCTGACTTTCAGAAAAGGGGAGAGTGGGCAAATTTAAAAGTTAATAACATTTCCATTTAGGTTTTGCAGAGTGACATCTCTTATTCAACTTTGCAAAAGCTTTCGCGCTTTCCTACTATATATATATATATATACACATTTGTAATATAAATATTATATTTAATATATGTAATATGTATATGTATAATATATAATATTTATATGTAATATAAATATAATATAAATATATATTGTTTTCCTCCTCCACCTCGAAACGATCTTTGCCGGGATTGTTTCTCTCAACCCCTTACCCACAAGGGTAAAACCATGGTTTCCCCGGGGAGCGAAATCCACAGCACCGGTTGCACTCACACAAACCCCGACGTTAAAACGCGATGGGCTACATGGGGGGGTCCGCGTGTCGCCCAGACTGCCGAATGCCAGCCAGCGTGAAAGAGTGTGGGAGCCTGGCACGGCCCGACCCAATCTACGAGACAGTTACCCGCACAAACCGCAACAGCGCTCAAATGCCCAAAGCTCCGACGTCGCCCCAAATCCCAGCTCCGACCTTCGGAGAAACGGAAGCGCCGCGTTTCCTCCGTTTAAAGCCAACTTCGCAGCTCCGCCCCACCAAGCGAAGGCTGCCGCTGTTTCTGCGCGCTGGCGAGGGCGGGGAGAGCGCCCACCGGCGGGCATCCTCCGCCGCCGACACAGGCTCCGCCCGGCCGCCGCCGAAGTTGGCAAAGGCAGCGAGTTGGTCGCTGCTCCGGGGAAGATCGGAGATGGCGGCCGGGCCTGGATCTCGTCTCCAGAGCCCAACTGGGGGTGGAATGGAGGGGCTCGGCTGCTACAAGAAGCCAGAGATCGGAGCGAGAAGCGGTTGTTGTTTTTTAAAGCCGCAGGCTCGCCCTTCCAAGAGCCTCAGGAAGGCCCGGCTTCGAAGTTCAACTAACGCAGCTGATGTAGTCGAGCCTCTGGCATGCTGGGCGGCCGAGGCCTGTTTATTTTCGAAAGGGCAGCAAGCCGAGCAGGGCTAGACCTGCTGCCGGTAGTTAAGTGGGCCCCGGTTTGCGAACGCCAGCTTGCATAGCAGAGTAGACGGGGAAGCCTCCAGGAGAAGACAGCGGCAAACTGCAAAGGAGTCGAAGGGCGCTGGCAGGTGACTTTTTGGGCCCTCTGGCTCCATTTTCTTAACAGTGACTGCAGAGCAAGATGCGGCTTGGGAGATGCCCGTGACATTAAGGGGCTTCCAAAGGCTCCCCCTCTCCGCTTAAACGGGAGAGCCGCTCCAGAGATTTCCCCTGCCGACCTCCGCACCCACCCCGTGTAACTATAAGGTAGTCCTCGACCTCCGTTTGTGAAGGTTAAGAGCAGTGCAATGAATAGTGGTGGGTATCTCAAGGGTAAAGGGGAAAAAATACAATAGAGCTAATCCTTGACTTACAACCACAACTGAGCCCAAACCCTGAGCCCTGAACAACACTTCAGTTGTTAAGTGAAACATTTGCTAAGTGAGTTTGCCTCATTTTACAAGCCTTCTTGCCACAGTTGCTAAGTGAATTGCTGTAGTTAAATTAGTCAAACTGTTGTTAAGTGAATGTGACTTCCCCAATTATTTTGCCTGTCAGAAGGTCACAAAAGAGGATAGCAATAGCACTTAGACTTATATACCACTTCATAGTGCTTTTACAGCCCTTTCTAAGCGGTTGACAGAGTCAGCGTATTGCCCCCAACAATCTGGGTCCTCAGTATACCGACCTCAGAAGGATGGAGGGCTGAGTCAACCTTGAGCCAGTGAAATCACATGACCCTGGGACACTGCAACTGTCAGAAATATGAGTCAGTTGCCAAGTGTCTGGATTTATCTTTGCATAATGAGTCTAAAATAGAACCAGTCTGGTCATTTGTGCCTTGAGTGAAAACTCTGGATTGATTTCTTCAATTATCTGTTTGTCTTCTTGACTGTCCACAATATTCTCAGGGATCTTCTCCAACACCAACTTTCAAAAGCATCAGTGCTATTTATATCATGCTTCTTCAAAATCCAATCTTCTCTTCCATAGAGTGTGACAATGAATGTTCTTTGCTGATTTATTATGTGCCATCAAATCACATGACTTGGGATTAAAGTTTAATATGGGAGCTGGGTTTGAACCTTAAGAGTGTCCAATCCTAGCCAATACAGCATACTAATACTGAGGAGCCAGGAAAGGTATCAAATCCAACAAACCCCTTCATCAACTGAAAAACAACAATGCAATTAGGGCAAGACCAACTACTTCAAGGTTATATAACCTTGCAGAATCAAGGGCATCTACCATGGGAGTAACAGCATATTCAAGGAAGATGGTAAGGGGGAATGATAAAATGCATGACAATGTCACACAACTAGTGCAACTTATGATTGCATTGGGTATTGGGCACGCATGAAGTAATGACATTTGGTTGATAATACCATATGTGTGCGGCAACATTTTGCAATCTGCAGTTTGACGAGCAAGGAGGAAGTATGTAGAAGAGAAAGGTAACTTTTATTAATTCAAACTAATAGCACAGTATTTATTTAACATGCTAGTTACAAGCTAATGACTTAGATGTTGACTAGGAACATGAAAGCCAGAGTTATAGTCCTGCCTTAGGCTTAGAAGCCAGCTAGATGACCTTGGGAAACCACTCAACCCTATGAAAAAAGTCAATGGCAACAGTTTTAAAACTATTTCTAAGAAAGCTGTAGGAATTACAGGTAATTTGCACCATCCCAGTATTACATAACCTGTTTTATTATGTTTTTTTTGCCAAAATCTGGCATCTACTTCATTTTCAGCAAAACAAACAAGACCACAATGCTGCCTTAACAACCGCAGCACTCACTTTAGGACTTTCACAAAAAAGGTCATAAAATCAGGTCAATCACTTTACAACTGTCACGATTTGCAAATTCTGACTATACACACTTCTTGAATAGCACTTAGCATTCCAACTCTTCCTGTATCTACACTGCTTTTGCAGTCTAGTTTGTTGTTACTAGGATTTGCAAGCCCTCTGCATAGAGGGCAGCTGCCTTTTCCAAAATGCCCCCCCAACTTCTCTGTCCTCATACTCTAGCATCTGTTTCTGTAGGAATGAACATTTAACTTTTCGCCATCCATTTTTCTGTGTGCAATTTAATAAGCTATACTGTTTTCCTGAAGATGTTACTTAGATAAGTCATCTCATTCATACCATATCAGTAATAATATTTAAGACATACAGTATGTCACAGAAGTGAGTACATCCCTTCACATTTTGTAAATATTTAAGTATATCTTTTCATGTGACAACACTGAAGAAATGACACTTGGCTACAATGGAAAGTAGTGAGTATACAGCTTATATAAATGTGTAAATGTGCTGTCCCCTCAAAATAATGCAACACAAAGCCATTAATGTCTAAACTGCTGGCAACAAAAGTGAGTACACCCCTAAGTGATAATGTCCAAATGGGGCCCAAGTAGCCATTTTCCCTCCCTGGTATCATGTGATGCGTTAGTGTTACAAGATCTCAGGTGTGAAGAGGGAGCAGGTGTGTTAAATTTGGTGTTCTCACTCTTGCTCTCTCACACTGGTCACTGGAAGTTCAGCATGGAACCTCATGGCAATGAACTCTCTGAGGATCTGAAAAAATGAATTGCTGCTCTACATAAAGATGGCCTAGGCCCGTGATGGCGAACCTATGGCATGCGTGCCACAGGTGGCACACGGAGCCATATCGGTGGGCACATGAGCTCAGCTCCGGCCCGCTGATTTTCAGGCCTTCTGGGTCCACCAGTTGGTAAACAGGCCATTTCCAGCCTCCGGAGGGCCTCCAGGGGAGTGGGGAAGGTCGTTTTTGCCCTCCCCAGGCTCCTAGAAAGGCTCTGGAGCCTGGGGACAGTGAAAAATGGGTCTACCGGACCCACTGTGCCATCACGTGCCAAAAACGGGGGGAGCATGGGGGGGTTGCATGCACGTGTGTGGGGGACAGGGCGCATAGAACTATGGGTGTCGGCACGCGCACGCGTGACCCCCCCACATTCCCCCCGCTTTTGGCACGCAATGGCAAAAAGGTTAGCCATCACCGGCCTAGGCTATAAGGTTGCCAAGATCCTGAAACTGAGCTGCAGTACGGTGATTAAGACCATACAATGGTTTAAAAGGACAGGTTCGACTCAGAACGGGTCTCGCCATGGTCGACCAAAGAAGTTAAGTCCCCGTGCTCAGCGTCATATCCAAAGGTTGGCTTTGGGAAATAGACCTATGAGTGCTGCCAGCATTGCTGCAGAGGTTAAAGGAGTGGGGGATCAGCCTGTCAGTGCTCAGACCATACTTAGCACGCTGTATCAAATTGGTCTGCAGCGCTGTCGTCCCAGAAGGAAGCCTCTTCTAAAGATGATGCACAAGAAAGCCTGCAAATGGTTTGCTGCAGACAAGCAGACTTAGGACATAGATTCCTGGAACCATGTCCTGTGGTCCAATGAGACCAAGATAAACTTATTTGGCGGCAACCAGGTGAGGAGTACAAAGACAAGTGTGTCTTGCCTACAGTCAAGCATGATGGTGGGAATGTCATGGTCTGGGGCTGCATGAGTGCTGCTGGCACTGGGGAACTACCGTTCATTGAGGGAACCATGAATGCCAACATGTACTGTGACATACTGAAGCAGAGCATGATCCCCTCCCTTCAGAGACTGGGCCGCAGGGCAGTATTTCAACATGATAACGACCCCAAACACACCTCCAAAACGACCACTGCCTTGCTAAAGAAGCAGAGGGTAAAGGTGATGGACTGGCCAGGCCTAAATCCTATTGAGCATCTGTGGGGCATCCTGAAATGGAAGGTGGAGGTGCGCAAGGGCTCTAACATGACATTGTCATGGAGGAGTGGAAGAGGACTTCAGTGGCAACCTGTGACGCTCTGGTGAATAGGCCCAAGAGGGTTAAGACAGTGCTGGAAAATAATGGTGGCCACACAAAATATTGACACTTTGGGCCCCATTTGGACATTATCACTTAGGGGTGTACGCACTTTTGTTGCCAGCAGTTTAGACATTAATGGCTGTGTGTTGTACTATTTTCAGGGGACAGCACATTTACATTGTTACACAATCTGTATACTCACTACTTTCCATTGTAGCCAAGTGTCATTTCTTCAGTGTTGTCACATGAAAAGATATACTAAATATTTACAAAATGTGAGGGGATGTACTCACTTCTGTGACATACTGTAAGTCACATCTCATTTATACTATATCAGTAAGAATATTTAAGATATATGTTCATGTGATTAGATTAATTAAACCTTCTACTGCTAAAAGGAGACAGGGAGAGCCTTGTTCCTTTGTCATTATTTATTCATGCAGCAGGTTGCTCACCAAACATCAAAAGTGGGGCATTTGCCCGCCTCCAACTGCTGAGGGAGAGCTCTCTCTACCAAGAAAAGCTTTTGTGGTTAGAAAAACAAGGAGCAATGTGGCCGTGGTTCATTCTACTCAGGAAGTTTGTCTTTTTACCTGTGCATTTTCATGAAGAGAAAGGGGTTTTCTCATTGGATTCTACACAAAGCAAGAAGTGATGTTTCCAACCCAGAACTAGTGGAATTTCCATTTCATTCAAGCAACATAATTTTTTTTAAAAAACTCAGATAATCTTAACTAAGGTTGTATGAACTTGTTTATTCACCTGCTTTCACTCCATCGCAAAGAGGTTAAGTACGGTGGTTTGATTTTTCCCATTTTTACTCGGAATGCAGCATGGTTGGCTAAGTTTATGTAGTACATTTTGCCTTTGGGAAGCAGAGCTCCTATTCCGATTGTTCGAATTTCCCCCCCACGTGGCCAAACAATGGATGTGGTGAAAATACAGGTAGCCCTCCACTTACGACCATAATTGAGCCCAGAATTTC